GGAAGATTTGCTCCTGGGTGTCGGTGAATGAGGAGTTTAAAAGTCAGAATGTTTCTCTCCTTTGTACTAAATCATGGATGTTCTTGTAATATGTTTTGGGCCCAGGAAGATCTAGTTGGCCTAAGTCTTGTTGTAATTTGCTTTCTCATTGAATAAAATTACTTTACCTTTTTCAAAAAAAAAAAAGGTTTATAGGACAATTTCAGAACATATTCTGTTATAACCTTTGTTTCTTAGGTTTGTTTAATGATTTGGAGAAAGATAATAAACCATGTCTACAATTTCTTTTGTTACTTCGGACAACTTCTTTTACAATGTTTCCACCATGTCTACAATTTTTACACTATTTCCATAGGATATTTCCGACATTTCCAACATATTTCCTATATTTGGATGATCAATATTTCCACCACAACGACATTTTAAACCTTGCACATGACTTCTAGTATTTTGGAAATTTGGTCATACAAATTGGACCTGATTTGAATAAGTCTTATCCAATCTGCAGACAGGATACAAATTTGTCACGAGAATATTCTATATTTGGTTATTCTGAAGTGTCTACTAAAACTAGAAATTTAATAGATTTATGTCTATACTCTATAGGCATTTCCAAAGTTCCCCTGAAGTTAATTCAAATTAATACTAGGGGTTGATAATTAGCCAATTGTTAATGTCTGAGAACTGTAAGTTCTAACTTTAGGGCCTCATATTGCCATTTGGCCCTCTCAACGCACATACCCTATAGGTGCTGGGTTTTGGATCGTTTTAGAGGTCCATATAAAGGCTTAACTGTTGGCTCGTCTAGGGGAAGGTCTATTCCTTTACTTTGCCTTCTTTTTTGTTTCATTCAAGAGACATCACAGTAAAGTCCAACAGAAGTTATAAATTTTCCATTATGGACTGGACATTGTACAGAAAGAATTTAAAAACAATTAGCAGGTAGCCTTAGATTGAGTGGTAGGAGAGTGAATGGCAATTCTGGTATAGTCTCCATATTTTGTATAGTCTCTGAAGAAATGGTCTTCCAGATGAGTAACCCTTTCCTGTTTAGATCAACCAGGTTACAGCTTCGGAACAGATCTAGCAGAGATGCTGGTAAACATCTCATTACCATAAAGATGTCATAAATCTGCTCCACTTGAGCTACCTGTCCCCTCTAAGAAGAGAATAACCCAACCTCCCGGTAGGCAGCAGTTGCTTCTTCCACATGCCCTTTTCTTCATTTACTACATTCTAGTGAATCCCTATGCTGTTGTCTATTTTAGATATGAAAACATCAAGAAGAAAATAGAGAAACCTGAATAGATGAAATCCTTGCCATTATAGCTAAAGCCATGCCTCACAAGGGTCTCACTGTTACAAAGCAAGAAATCACATTAAGAACAGACCACTAGAAATAGCACATGAGATTCAGCAGTAACAACAGAAAGAAACAGTAACAAGCACCTTATAGCCTCAACTTTGTCTGCATGGCCACTTGGTTCACCAAATGCGCTGCCATAATGGAATCTACCACATGAAACCCCAGCTTTGCCACCAAGAAGTTCTATCATCTTCCCTATTGTCATCCGGCTGATGATAATAACAGAAAAATAAACATAATGATCGAAAAGGAGAAGCCATGCAAGACAACCAACTTTCAGGAGATGAAAGATCCTAGTATATCAACAGAAAAATGGTTTTAAGAGAGAAATCAAGTTACAGAACTACAATATATCACAAAATATCAATCAAGCCCAAAAAAGAGACTATAATAGTGCCCAAAACAACTATTGCCTATAGACCCCCCTGCTTGGCTACTGTGTCGGCCATCCCATTTGCAGTCCTTTTGATCCAAAAAAAAGGCATTTGAGTTCCCTTTCCAGGCTATCTACTTCCCTCAGAGTATGTCCATATATCAAAGGAACATTACACCTTGTGGTAGTCCAACAGATAACCAGTTTAGAGTCCCATTCGACCTCCAAGTTTTGTAGGTTTGTTTGCTTAGCAAGTTTTCAACCTTGTAGTAGCACTAACATCTCTTATTGACTAAAGCTATGACAAGGGCTTGCTTAGCAAGCTATGGACAAACTAATGCTCATTACTTAGCATCAGTTTGAGGGTGAGTGTAGAGACAATGAGGGATAGTTTGTCTTTTCCTTTTCTTTTATCTTGTAATATACTTGTGTATATTAGTTCTTGTAATTTATTTCTTGTATAAGGACAGAATTGTCCTTTTCATCATATTAATATAAATACAGCTTTCCAAGTTCAGACACACCTATTCAACTCTTCTTCTTCTCCTCAACCTAACTCTGGCATTATACACATGCATCCTACAATGGCAAGGCGCAATGAATTCCATCTCCTATGCAGATTATTGGAGTACAAGTTAAGTCCTGTAATAAAGAAACTATGGGTGACTAGGTGTAATATTTTTATCAATACCAGAATTGACAATTGAAGGTTCTAAGGCTGTATGAACAGGGGATACATGACAGAACTTTTCTATTTCCAAACCTCACCTTCAACAAGTGCCAGCCTATTTCAATAAATTTTAACATGCCTTTCATAAATCAAAATCAAATAGAATGCTCTTGTAATGTTCACAAGGGCAAATGAATAAGATTCCAAAGTTTAAATCAAGGCATTTAGACAATGTTTTGACACGGAAAAAAGAAGGTATAAGTAAAAGACTCTCAGAAGTAAAGTCAACTTCTAGTTTATCATGCAAGCACAAAAAATGTCCAAATGAGTTGAACAGAGGTAAACGAAAAGATTTCACCTCGGAAATCCATGAGGATTCATGATCAGATCAGGACAGATGCCACGTTCAGAAAAAGGAAAATCTTCTTGTTGGATAATGGTGCCACAAACACCTTTTTGTCCATGTCTGCTGCTGAATTTGTCACCAACCTAAGTGCGAAAAATCAATATCATCAATTGGACAGTTGAGACAAAACTTTACATTTCCAAGTTGATAGTCAAAGCTGAAATAAGAAAAGAACCTCTGGTCTACGGGTATGACGAATTAGAAATTTGATGCACAAATTATTATCCTTATCCGAGCAGAGTGCTACTCTATCAACTACAGCTGTCTCCCCTTGAGGACCTTTGTATGTTTGTCTAGTTGACTTGTAAGCACTGAATGTTACAAGAGTGGTTAGTAAACCTGGTATTTAAAGAATGTTTCTTGTAGGATCCAGCAGAGAAAAAAACAACTAACCTATCTGGTAATCCTGTTGGAGATGTAAACTTGTCCCTCGTATTGACTGGAGTTTCTTTATTGATGTAGATATCATGTGGCCTAATTATTTCCCCAGGTGCAGCAATTCCATCAGCATCGAGTATCTATACAAATGAAAAATCATGTAAGAAATCTAAAAACACAGAAGGTAACTAGATATTAAAAAGGAAAAGAAGACCAATGCAGATAAAGATATGACAAGACAAAGGATAAAAATATTCATTTGCTAGCTGCTTTATCCACATCTAGAAGGGGGGATATTATATGAATGTATGCAGCATTTCTTTGTTGAATAGAACAGGACAAAGTAAAGATAATAAGCTGAAAGAAACACAAAGGTATTGTATGAAATGAAACAAAAGAGAATGAAAAGAGCCCTATAATAACTCAGTTTCTTATCCAAATTCTGGAGTTATTGCATACTGAATAAATGGGAACACTGGATATGCTAAAATCTCTTAAGACACACTATAATAGCTATGCTGATATTTGTACTTCCATGAGGGTTAAATAAAAGGATCTACAACGCAGGAGATACCACACCCCCCCCCCCCTCCCTTTTGTTGGGGAGATAAGGAGACTACTTGGAATGCAATGTAAAGATGATAATAAAAGAATAACCATACAATGATACAAGGGTATCAACAAAATTTCTCCAGACCATAACAGTAACATAAAGTTTCTTTTTTGTTTGATCTGGTAACAAGATCATGAATCATATTGATGAAAAAATACAACTAAAAACAGATGGGAAGAAATTAAAGGTTGTGTCATATTACACGGACAAAGTTCCCTAATATGGTAAAATTGATTCACAAAATACATCTCACCCCTAGTAACCTCATGTCATGCCAAGGAGTCAGCAAGTTCTCTAGTACTACCAGAGAACTAGATTGACTCGTGCAGGAAAAAAACAGTACTGGTTCATATGGTTGACACCAGCAGTTGTATGACCATAAGAGACATAAAGCTCTATATTTTAATTGTTGCTAAGTTGGAATTTGAGATATAAATCCATGAATCTTCTAATAGATTTTTGAGTGACTTTTCCTTTTTAAATGGTAAAAAGATAAATGTACTAGTGTAAAAATATGGAGATAACTAAAAGCCCTTCGGGTGTCTAGAAAAGCCCAAGCCTCACAAAACAATACAACAAGATTGCTATATTAGGGCCCACAAACATTACTTCTCTTCAGTCTCCCCCATCCTCCAGGGGCATGCTTGCTTAACTATCAGCAATTGCATTGGCGGAATTATCTATCAAATGAAAAACAAAAGAAAAAGAAAAGAAATTGCATTATCTTAGTACCCATTTGCCCAATATGTTACTCAGAGCCCATGCTGCTCTAAACTAATACCTAAGTCTCTAAGGCTCATTGGATCAGCTTCATAAAAAAAGTAACATTACGAACACACTATCAGAACTGCAATATAGAGTTATCACCTGGCCTGAACCTGCATGCGTTCATTCCTTGGATTATCATGAATTATTACAGTCTTTGTTGAATAGCATGATGTTAAAATAGATGCCATTGACATTTCCTATTTAAGCCTTTTAACCTTTCTTGTTCCATATAGTTCTTTGGTTTTGACTTATCATGCATTATGTTTCTTTGAACACTCCATGGAGTTTCATAAACAGTTTTTTTTTTTTTTTTCTCAAGTGGCCTGTATTTTCCACATTATCCCTCTCCAAAGATATTAAGTAAATGAGATAGCAAAAGATTAAAAATTGTCTCCATAACAATTTCAAGAATTGTTTTCTGTAGAGATCATATAGGTCATGTTTCCACTTTATAATAAAACTAATATAATAGTGTGTCACGCAAACAAAAATTTAGACTGTTTAAATTGAGAGTGTGGAAATGGAAACAGAAATCTAGAGGTTCCTGGACTCTCTCAATAGAGGGATTCCAAAATGATAATATCATCCCTTAAGAATTTCAACCTATTTCATATAGATGGAATTCGACACATTAAAATATTCCATATGGAACAAAGAAACCAAAGGTGCTTATTAGAAAGACCAAATATGGAAGATCTGTATCAACATGTGTAGCTAGTACCTTTTCTGCATTGCTCCTCACTTTTTGAGGCCTAATTATTCTATCAGATGTGTCATTAGGATACCGTTGATTGATAGCAGATAACCTGTTCATCTCAGAACCATAGCAAAAGTTAATACAACCATTCAGAAAATAGAGATTTGATGGTGATGATACAAATAGTAAAACAAAATGAAAGCAACATTATGGATATGGTGAAATACTTTTTCATTACAATACAACGACCAAAACCACGATCAAGAGATGATTTGTTCATGACTATTGCATCCTCAATGTCATAACCACTATAACTCATAACAGCAACTGTTGCATTCTGCCCTGCCCCAAGCTTATCATAACCAACCTGAGATTATAAGGTCAGATTCACAACAGAGATTTTTTAATTGGAACACTTAACACTGTATTAATAAATATTAAAGAAAAGTATAACAAAAGTAAAAGAATATCACAAATCTTCCTCCCAGAAAGAGGAAAAGCCTACCTATGAAACCACCTTGCATGGCATAAATGAACTATAAACCCCCATCAATCAGATATTCGAGTAAAATGTTCCCACCAATAAAAAAGAAAACAAAAAGGAAGGCAAATAAGCCTTCACCAGGCTAATAATCACAGGACTCTGGGAGAACAATTTCCATCTATGCAGCCTCTTCCTTTCCTCTTGTGGTACGTATTTCTCATTTTTTTCAGAAATTCTAAATTTCACCTGATTCCCCCACCAATACTGGTTTAGAAAAGCTCTCTCCCTCACCCCTACTAGCCAAGCCATTAATTCCCCATTGTCTTCAATCTCTTCCTGAGGTTCAGTTCCTTCAGCCACCATAACCTCCATTTGGGCGCTATTTTTCACAACCAAGATTTTTGAGTAATCTATCATGCGATGAATTAGAGAATACTAACCAACTCAATTGTCCTTGTTGTCAGTAGTGGTCGCTGAGGATAGACTAAAAGGTAAAGTAATGTGTCCATCCGGCATAGCTGCAAGATGGAGATTCAGACCATATCAGTATGGCAAGAGGTGCACTATGCCAACAACATAAACAATATTCAGGAAGAAAAGGAAGGAGAATAAGCAAATAAATTACTGCAATCAGACCAATATCATACTGTACCTTGTCTAAGATGAGAGAAATAGTAATTAAAAAATGAATCGAGGCAAAAGAAATGATACTTGAAAGCAACAACACAGAAGTATTAAAGGATTTCAGGAAATAAGACAGTGCAAGTCATTAAAAATGACATATCTGACCCTAAGGATGAAGATTATGCAAATAAGTACGGAAATATTGAAGCCACCATTACCCTTGGATTTTACCATATCACTGATTCAAAAAGACTTCCTGCCCAATGTTATGAATGTGAAGAATCCTGGTGTATTGTATTACTATAGTCCCTGCCATACATAGTCTTGTTCTTATCATATTCTTTGTATTTCTATTTCAGCCCCTCTAAGGGCTCTTTTGTATTTTATTCTTTTTATCTTTTAGTCCTCCAAGGACTCTTATGTAATTCTCGATATTATTTAATATATATGGCTCTTTGGGATAGGGGTCAAGTAATCTGTTCAGACACCCCTAAGAACTCCTGCTCTTCTCTTTTGAACTGGTTTGGTGACATGGTACCAGAGCAGGTCGTGCCTACCAGTTGTGGATCTCTCTTGTTTCCTGGATATTAGAGGACAGTTTGAGGGATTGTTTGGCCTCTATTAAACTCAGTTTGAAGATTGTTTGAGGGCTGCTCTGATCAACTGAAGGTAATAAGTTTTCTCTGGAAAAGACACCCAACAGGTCAGTATTTATTTGATTTAATCAAATCGGCTGGTTCAATCAGCTCAAGACTCTATGGTTGGTGCCCCCCTAGACTTCTCTCACGGTGGGTTTTATCTGAATTGAAGTCCGAGTTATTTTTGCTAGGGTTTTGATCCCATTAGGTGTGTACAGTCCTTGTTTGACTGCCTTCGATTTAAACTCTCCTTAGTATGATTTCAGCAATGCAATCACAATCAGCCATTGATTTGAACAATATTCACCAGTTCTTCTACTCATTAGCATCAATTTCAGTACTGTGAATCTTGTTTTGAACTGTGGTTGTAATCTGGAAAGGCTGAGAAGGCTGCTATTATTCCCGTAAAGTTTGATGGAACTAACTACAGCATGTGGAAGTTCCATTTCAATTTCTTTGGTGAGGGAAACGATCTGGAGGGATATTTGAATAGAAAGGTCACTATGCCGGATGAGACAGATGCGGAGACCTGTTCACAATGGAAGCTTGATAATGGGAAAATTGTCTCTTGGATACTCAGTTGGATGGTATCTCATATTGCAGTACCCATGAGAAGAACACATATTGCCTATGAGACACATGCATACTTGGAGAAAGCATATTATCAATCCAATATGTCAAGACAATATCAGATTGAGTCTGAGATTTTTTCTTATTGTCAAGGAGATAGGAAGATACAAGAACATTATGCTGGTTTCCTTGACTTGTGGGAAGAATTTGAACTTATCTACATAGAATCCTCAGACTCCGTAGAAAATGTCAAGTATCTCCAAAAGCATTTTGAGAAGATGAAGAAGAGGAATGTTTGCACCTATTGTAAACAGCATGTTCACATAATTCTGGACTGCACAGTTAGGTTATCTAAGGGTATTCAGAAAAAGAACCAGCCACGTGCATATCAAGTATCTGATGGGCAAACCACTGGCATCTCTTCTGCCTTTTCTTCTATCGGCTTGCTTGGTGAGTTCTCTGGATAATGTTGCTCTCAGTCTCACACTTGGATCATTGATTCAGGAGCAAATAATCATATGATTGGTGCCTACCTCGAACCCCCAAATAACACTTCTGAGACCATCCATAGACATATCATTATGCCAATGGTGAAAAATTGAATATCATTGGTTGTAATGACTTGTCCCTTAAGCTTTCACTTAATGCCTCCTTTCCCCTTTCCAAAACCCTTTTTTTTACTAACCTTACTACTAATCTGATTTTTTGTTGGACAACTTGTTGATGAAGATCATACACTTATATTTTCTCACGATGGTTGTTTGATGTGGGGCTGGTACACCAGGAAGGTGAAAGGGAAGGGGTGTAGGTTGGGACAACTTTTTGTGTTGGAGTTCGAGAATCCTCAAGCATCATCTTCTGCTTACTTTAGTTCATCTTCTTCTAGTTCTTTTGTTGGACAAAGAAAAAATATTTAAGAGTTATAGCATAAACAATTGGGCCCCCCTCATTCTGAACATTTAAAGTAAGAGTCGCTCATACCCTTTTCTCACACATCTGAGCATGCCACCTCACCATTCTGAATATAAGCAATTAGTTCATCATCTTCTTGTTGTTTAGGTAAGAGTCACTCTTTACCCTTTTCTCACACATCTGAGCATGCCACCTCACCATTTGAGATCATACATAGTGATGATTAGGCTTCATCTATAGTTTCTTAGCTCGGACACAAGTACTTTGTTTTGCCATGGTACGAGTCCAATTTCAGTCTCATGTGCATATTCTCCAAGGGGAGAATACACCGATGGAGACATTCTATCTTATCTGAAAAATCATGGTATACAAGTTCAACAGAGTTGCCTAGATACACCTCAACAAAATGGAGTGGTCGAGCATAATATGCCTCAATGTTATGGCGCGCCTTTGTTTTGCCCCATTGTTTTAAAAGTGCAAGGCACAAAAAAGGCATAAGGGCCAATTTGTGCCCGAGGCGCAAGGCGAGGCACACACCTTTTTGAAGAAAAACGCAAAAAAAGATTAAAAAAAAAAATCAGACAATTCAAAAAATTCAAAATGCAAAAAAATAAAAAAATATTAAACATAATATTAATAGGATATATAAACTTAAGTTTTATAATTAATGTTTTAAAAAACCAATTATCTAAAATTAAAATGCATAAAAAAACATGTAAAGCCCATAATCTCTTTTTTTCCTCAATTGCATTACTTCAAGTAGCTAAGGTGATATAAAACAGATTACATTCCTAATTCTACGAGTCACTTTTGTGCCATGCCCAGTGTTTTAAAAGTGCAAGGTGCAAAAAAAGCACAAAGGCCAATTTGCACCCGAGGTGCAAGGCGAGGCGTGCGCCTTTTTAAGCATGGCAGAAACTGCAAAAAAAAAACTAAAATTAAAAAAAATGCGAAAAATTAAAAAAATAATAAAAAATATTAAGCATAATGTTTAAAAAAACCTAATATCTAAAATTAAAATACATAAACATGACATGTAAAGCGTATTCAAATAAAAATAAAAGCAAGCATATAAAGCATTTCCAAGCATGTAAAACCCAAAATCTCTTTTTTTTTTCCTTAATTGCATTGCTTCAAGTAGCTAATGTGATGTAAAACATATTGCATTCATGATTCTATGAGTCACCTTTGTACCCCGCCCCTCGAGGCAAGCCCGAACAAGTCTATGTGAGGGTTTGAAATTCTTATTTCACACATAAAAAATAATGATTTTATAACTTTCATTGCCTTTTAAGAAGATATTTTATTGCAATGAATGAAGATATTTTCATGTGAGAAATAAGAATTTCAAACAATAAAATAGACTTGTTCGGGCTTGCCTCGAGGGGTATGGTCAGGGGTCTAGGGGTGGAGCCCCCGGCCCATCCGAAAAAAAGCAAAAAGCGCAAAATTTTAAAAAGGCACAAGCCTAGGCACACCAGGTGTGCGGCGTGCGCCTTTTGAAAGGGGTGCACATAGGACCTAGGCGAGGCGCATACCCCAAGATGCACCTCACCTGTGCGCTTAGGCGCGCCTTTTAAATCACTGGCCACGCCCCTTGAGGCAAGCCCAAACAAGTCCATGTTAGGGTCTTAAACTCTTAATTCTCATACAAAACATAATGATTTTATAATTTTAATTGCCTTTTAAGAAGATATTTTATTAAGATGAATGAATGAACAACATTAGCAAAATGGGGGTTCTCGGAGAATTAATAATTATTTTTTGTGTGAGAATTAAGAATTTAAGACCCTAAGATGATCTTATTTTGGTTTGCCTCGAGGGGTGCAATCGGGGGTCCAGGGGAAGAGCCCTCAGCCCAACTGCTAGTCTCAATAGCAGAAAAGCGTAAAGTTTTCAAAAGGCACAAGCCTGGGCCAAGGTACAAGGAGCATCAGGCGTGCACCATTTAAATCACTACTTTGTTCATCTTCTGCCCTATGAATGTTTCAAGTTATATACACAATCTGCCATGTGTTCCTTTGTTGGCTATAGTCCAGATCACAAAGGATTTATTTGGTATGATCCCTCAGCTTGTCAGATTCATGTATCTCAAAATGTTATTTTTCTTGAGTATATTTTGCAGAATTTTGGTGTGTTCCTTTGTTGGCTATATTCCTTTGTTGCTAGATTATCTGCAACATTCGTCTCTGTTTTGCAGAATTTTGATTCAGAAGATGTCTCACCTTTATTTGGTGTGAAGGATTTTCTCGTCTTCTCTCACAAAAGGTTATGTGCTCCAGATCCTATGCCTACAACCTCACCTCTAATTGGTTCAAATCATCACTCTTTTGATACTCCTATAATTGATGTTCCCCCATATTCTATTTACATTGCTATTGTTACCCCTTCGTTGTTCTTCTCATATTTCTAGACCTCCTAATCGCTATGGTTTTCCTTCAAACCATAGCTCCTTGTCTACTGTGTTATCTACCACAGATATTCCCTGTTCGTATCAGCAAGCGAATACCAGTTCTCATTAGAGAAAAGCTATGGATGTAGAAATACATGCATTACATGACAATGACACTTGGGATCTAGTGATTCCCCCTTTAGATGCATTTTGTCATTGGAAGTCGTTGAGTCTACACTATTAAGCTGAAGTCCAATGGTTTCATTAGACCGGTACAAGGCTCATCTTGTTGCTCAGGGTTATACCCAAGAATATGACATTAACTACGAAGAGACATTCGCTCTAGTTGCCAAGATTACTACAGTCTATGTTCTCTTGGCTC